AATTTTTTTTTTTTTTTTTTTTTTTTTTTTTTTTTTTTTTGTGAACGGTTGTTATTTGTACCACTATTTTATTAAGTATTTTAAATATCTTTTTGCTAATGGCACAATCTATTTATAAATTTGTATATAAAGTTACTAATTACTGTATTTTCTAAATTTTTTATCGACACTCGTAAAATTTGGACCTTAGTATTTCCACTACATCAACATTTCAAATATTAGGAACAAACCATTAAATTATTTAAATAAGCTCTTGTTAGAGCATAATTTCATTGCAAATTTATGAATAAATTAACCTAGAGTCAAATACAAGTCATCAATGGCACTAATATGACTCAAATTTTTAAAATCCAAATCCAAAAGACTTAAAAAATTAAAAAAAAACAAAATTCAGTATCTCAATATAATAGAAATTTACAATGTGGTTTAAACTAAAGGAAAAATAGGGGAAAAAACGGAGAAACCATGAAATAATTATCCACTCCACAAAATTAAATATTATAAAATATTGAACAATGAAAAAAAATTGGATGTTATATTATTCAACGTTAAAAATTGAATGTCGTTTGAAAAAAATTTGGATATTGATTGTAGGGACCAACCCAAAGGAAGGACCCTCCAAAAATAGGCGTATGCCGCTTTGGGCGGCGAACCCACGGTATTCTTTAGTAAAAGGCGAAAGAATAGTTCGCTCTGTGTTCACCGCACGGCTCCGTGCCTTCAAAATGGTACGTTGGTGGCTTTATATAGGCGCTGGATGGATCCACTCAGCAACCATTTCCCGATGTGGTAATTCCAATTTCCAAGGATATTATTATCGTTTTTCAATTTTATTATTTATTTATTAGGACTTTCCAATTTTATTTTGCGGGTGTACAGGTCCCATAAACCAATAAGAAATAGCCACGTGGGATCCCATTCAACAATAGTATTCATCTGATTATCCGACTTCTTTTATAAATAATCAGAATTCTTTTATAAATAATCAGAATTTGCTTTGTCTAAACTTTTATTTATTTATTTATTTTAATGCTATACATAAAATGATGCACCAATTTAATAGGTAACGAAGGCATATAATCGAAAAATCACGTCTCATCTCGAAATGTTTACATCATGTTACTATCAATTGTACCTATTAAACTCAAAAAAAAATTATACTTCAGAGTTGTGTCTCATAAGGAAAAGAGATAATGATTATTATAAATTGTTTTGAAGAAGCTTTTTTTAAACATTTATTTGTCGCTCTTTATAATAAATAAATAAAAATTTGAAACTTAACATACAAGTGTACAAGTTCCTGAGTTATCCGTAAATCAAGATCTAATCAAGATCTTTAAGATCTAGATTTAAATTTATGCCAGAGATGAAAGAAAAATATTAACTCACTTGAATAAGCTTTTTGATAGTGCACAATTTCATTGCAAATTTAGGAACTCTAATAAATCTAAAGTAATTAACGGAAGGAAAGTGTTTTAAGCTTAGAAAGTAAAATGAAATTTACGACCTCTTATCTATACCTGCCTTGGTTTAGTTGCTATAACGGTGTTACAACAATGCATCATTACGAGCAACAAAAACTTCAAATTGCATATCTATAAATCATTTTTAATTAAATTATAAGTCATCGTTCATGGACTGTAGTTTATTTTTCACCTTTTTCTTAAAAATAAAAAATAGTATTGTCAAATAAAAAATAGAATTCTCCATACCTAGCCACCTTCCCATTCAATGGCAATAATACCTTTCAATACTAAAAATAAGTTCCATACAATTAAGAAGTGATGAGGCTTAAATAGAAAAGAAACATCAAAAGTCATATAAATGTATGGTAGCACCAACAGAAATTTCTGGCTTTAAATGTTCTGCTGCTCATAATATAAAACCGACACTAAAAACAACTATGTCATCCTTATAATTCTTCAAAACAATTCGCTTCGCCATTAAGAGTGGAACATATTAAAAGTACGAAAAAATAGCTTACCGACTAGAATTGCCATAAGGAAGGATCCCTCCAAATTCGGACTTGTGAATGTGTTATTTTGTTGTTGACTGTATGCCACATACTTGAATATTATATTTGCTTATGAGTTTTTTTATATATACTTATTTGAGTTATTCTTCTAATTTTTTTTTATTTATTTATTTTAGAGGGAATTTTAAAATATATTTTGGTAAGTGTTTTCTAGGGAAGTATGAAATGAGAAACTTCCGTGTTCAAAGATCTTGGAGCTTATTCAAAGAAATAAATGTTGAGTTAGAAGGCAACTTCTAATACTAATAATAATATTAATATTTGATTAAAATATGATAAGAATAAAATAATTAAATTTTAAATTATTTTTAATCTTTTGAGACTTAATTTGATGTTGGGCCCAATCCCAAAGGAAGGCCCTCCAAAAATAGGCGTATGCCGCTTGTAGCGGCGAGCACACGGTATTCTTTAGTAAAAGGCGAAAGAATAGTTCGCTTTGTGCTCACCGCACGGCTCCGTGCTTTCTCACTAAGACGTTGGCGCCTTTATATAGGTGCTGGATATGTGTACTACAATGAATTTCTTCGATGTGGGAGCTTGTCAGCAAGTTATATCAATTTCTTTATAAAATAAGAATTCCCATTTGTTAAAAACTGAAAATTCATATGCATTGCAAAAAACACCTCTTCTTGAGTAACCATTTATGGTTTTATTTTAGTTTTAATTTGTAGTATGTTTAAAATAAAATTTTAAATCATTGACAATGTATTTTTTAACCCTATTATATGATTCATATTTAAAGTTAATTTGAACCTAATTTAATTAGTTAACACGTATTTTCGATCCAAAAGGTAAGGGATCGAATCCTTCCACTCCATTTTTTTTAAACGTGATTAAGTCTAAAATATAAAAAACTATAGAAAACGAAATTTATATATTTTTTTTCCCTTATAGATTCCAAAGTCACCCAACCATGCGACTAAATCCAACCTGAATAAATGATTGAAACAAGTTGAGTTGTAGATTCAATTCGGGTAATTCGTATCACCAATCCAATTAGCTAAATAAGGGTGTATAGACTATTCATTATTTTCGTCTTGTTTTCACGACTTCTAAAACTATATTGGCAGTCAGGACTTCGATGTTCAGTTTTGTTTTAATTATTTTCAATAAAGTATAATAAACCACACATGGTCTTATTAGTTTTTTTTTTGTTTTTTTTATTCTATGATTCTTTAATAAGATTCCATTCAAAAATCCCAAAGATCTTGTGTATCTAAGTAGTTTAATGATGAATTAAACATACTTGTGGGATTTCAATGATGAATCTTTGCTTAAAAATAGTCTTAATTTACTGGCAACAAATTATTAGAATAATTAGATCCAAATTTAACAAAAATAATAATAATAATAATAATAATAATGTGTATAAATATCAAATAAATTATCTATAAAAAAAATAGCAAAGTGCTGTAAAAAAAAAAAAAATCTAATAAGTCTCAATTTTTTGTGTTATGGCTAAAATTTAAATTAAAAGGTTGACTTTACATTTAAAAAAAATATAATACAAGTTGGTTAAATAATTTATTATTATCATTATTATTATTATTACCGTTGCTATTATGCGATTTCAAATAGTTGGCCATGAACTATGCATGACGAAATTATATACATATTCTTAATAAGCCATGGAGAGTTTTTCTTATTAAAATAACACAATTTTTATGGGTGGTCAATCACATTTTTTGTATTCACATAATTAAATTATTTTGTGGGTGGATTCTGCTCCTTTGATTTTTTTTTCAATAATTATTAATTACTTAATTCATATGAAATTTAATTTGACCAAGTCAAATTTTGGTTTAAATTATTGGTTTAATATATAGTCTTCAGGCTTCAATTTCATAGAAATTGTTATGAATATTCCATTCTTTAGAAAGGGTTCTCATTGATTTTCTAAGAGAACAAATTTGGTCAATTCTGGTTTATTGAAACTAGAATATGGAACTTGTTTTATTATTGTTTTTTAAAATAAAATATACTGAAAATTGTTAAATAAATAAATATATAAAAATATATTTGACTTTATTTCTTTATAAAACATGTATAAAATGAAGTGTCATGTCTGAGATGATCCTTTTTTCTCGATTTTGTGGATATTGTGAAAATAAATAAATAAATTATTTATTTAAAAATTAAAGCAAGCTATTAGAAATTTGGTGTTTGTTTCCTAAGAAAAATAAATTATTTATTTTAT